GATCTGTAGTACTTTATATAAAAACGGTCAAGATTGAAATATTGCTGTCTTCTGGATGTAAAAATTTGATCAGAGCCAATTTCCCACAGGGACCAGATAGGGTGGGCTCAGGATCCAGGCAGTGGCACGAATCTTTCAGTTGCATTGGGCCTGCAGAATGAGATGGACGCTTCTGGACCAGAAGGGTTGACATTCATCGGGTGATCCAGATTCTAGTCTCAACTGTGTGACCTTGGTTGAGGCTGCTCCCTGATGGGCCTTGGTTTCTCTGAAATCCCTTTCTTGCACTTACCTCCAAGCCTTTCCTTCCTGGCTTCCCCATACCTGGCCAGGACTGTGTCTGGCCCACCCTGCCCACTGCGTTTGAAAGTGGAGCCACTATGAGTGTCACCTTTTGTTCTCTCCATTCCTTGCTTTGTGACAGTGACACAATTTCCTCTCCTTTTTTTAGTGCTGGTCTGGAGGAAAACGCAGGTACTTAAGGGGATGGGTGTTAATGGCTTCCCATTTTGGGTGTTATCTTATTTCATAAAGATATGGGGTTAATTTCTCTTTAGGGCTTCCCCTGACACTATCCCTAATTCTATAGAGGAAGCGGGCATGTCAGACCAGTATGTTATGGGAAAAACTGAAACTGACCAAAGTTACCCAATAAGGAAGCTCTAATCTGACTCTTGCTGAAGAGATATCAACTAACAGTGCTATCTCTGCCTAACACACACCCTCGCTTCCTGGACTGACAGGTTGGCAGACAGGAAGGTAACCCGCTCCTTAGCCAGGCTTTGCTCTGGCCTGCCTCTGATTCCTCAGCCTGGAATGCCCCCTCCTCTTTTCCTCCTCTCTCCCAGATAGAGATTTAAAGAGAAGCAGCCTTGTCCACGCCCATCACAGAAAGAGAAGGAACAGTTTGGGGAAACAGCCTCTGCTTTGTGACTAAGTAGGGTTGAGAAATGCCCATGATTGCCTGAAGGTGCCCCTGGGTGGAGAGAATCCTTAGAAGAGAAGGGGTAGAAGGAAAAAGGGGGTGATAGAGAACTCTTGTCCCCACAATTATGCTGATGACTCTGTTGTGTGGGGCTATTCATCCTGTTTTGTAGCGAGGAAGCTAGGGTTCAGATGAAGAGTGAGTCCTCTAATGTTACACACCTGTACAAACGCTACCACTAGGATTATTTGCATACTGGTGTTTCTGATGCCAGAGCCCTCCCGTCACCACCACCGGCTACAAATCGAGGGTTGACCTGAATGAGTCTGCTTTGATAGTTTCCAGAAACTTACATCTCCTAACAACAAATGCAGGGTTTGTCTTCCCAACTCCCAGCAGGCTAGATCAACACAGGATTACTTCACAAGGACACATTTGGCCTAATATTTTAACCACCGACTCTCAAAGACCCCAGGCAGGAAAGTGGTATGCAGTGTTGACCAGAACAGGGCCAAAGACAATCACATTATTGGCATATTGGTAGCCTGCCAGAGGAGAGGGGAAGGTGTTTGAGCCCCAGCCTACAGTTGTCCTTTGGTTAGTCTGGAATGGATCCTTAGAATTCTCACTGTATTTTTTTTAAAAGCTTCTTATATGATTCTGATGTGCAGCAACTTTGGAAACTCTTATCACAAGTGGCAGAATGGAGATTAGGCAGAAGTATCAGGAAGCAGATTTATCTTTGATTGAGGGAAATCTTTGAAACAAGTAGAGCTGATCAACAATGGAGTTTAGAGAAATAGCGAGCCTCTCAGGCTTGAAAATATTCAAACCTAGGCCAGATGACTATCTATTGGGTGAAGAGAGACAAACTAGACAAACTCGAATACTGTGTTTAGTGGGATTTTCAAGTAGTTACCCTAAGAGCCTTTTCTTTCTAAGGGTGAATACTTTTCAACTGTAGTCCCACTGCTCTGTGTACATCCGCTGGTCTCCTGCTTGGCTTTCTCCCTTGACTTTGGGCCTGGTGCTCCCTCCCACTGACTGCACTATGGGTGAAAGTTGGCAAGATTCTGAAAATTGTATTCATCTCCTTCCCAATCCAGGAAAATCGCCTTTGTATGGTGGCTGCTACTTGGTTTTGACTTCTGCTTCCTTTGGCTACCAACACAGCAGTGCCCACGATGGCTGGGTGGGCTTCACTGGTGTGTTTAGGAAGCTGTGGCATCAAGTGACTAATTATTATCCCTTCCTGAGTGGCCCTAATAAGCTGGGTGAACACATCATCATGCCCTGGTGCCATCTATTCTCAAGTTTTGAGAGTTCAAAGAGCTCCAATGTGAAAGAGGGGAAGTTTGGGCCAAGCTACTGGCCTGGGCATTTTTCACAGCTGTTTCATATCCTCTGTCTTAGTCCCCTCTTGTGATAGAGAGGAAACTAAGGTCCCGGGGTCATCCAAGAAACAACAGGGCAGGCAGGGAGTGCTCATCTACACTAAGAGGGGCCCACAGGACAGGCGAAGGTGGCTGTCCTGAGGGCCTGACATTGGGGCCAGACTGACCTCTGTGGAATCTCAGCTATGTCCCCTCATCACCCAAGTGACCTGCCAAACAGGGATACAGAATTTTTACAAAGACAATGGAGAACAGGTCATTAAAGCCGAAGGATGGTGCCTGACAGGTGAGAAATGCTTAAAGAATGTTTAGCTGCTGTAACTGTCACCAATACTGTTTTCATCTGTCATTGAACATGTGGAAGATGATTTTCTATTGGGCAAAAGGCAACATGTGTAAAGGGTGACTTTAACTCGATTCTTAGGGTTAAGGATGAGAGGTGTCTGATTGGAGTTCCAACAAATCTTGAAGCAGTTTAAACATTGAAGATAAACTAAGATTAGCTGCTGTAGAGTTTGCTCTTTTGTGTGCATAATGTCATGCCACTGGACGTGATGATGGGACCTTTTAATCAGGTGGGACAGGCTCAGATCCTCAGTGCAGGAATTCCTGTGCCCTTTGCAAACACCTGGAGCCTTATATGATAGGGGGAGCATTAGTGAGGCTTCTGGGCCTTTCTTCTCTTTGGGAAAGTAGTGAGGTGGGAGCATCTCTGTCACATGTCATACTCATGACAATGTTCAGAGACATGTCTGCTGCCCCCTGACTTGCTCAGTCACCCCTGTGGGCCTTGCTCTCCACTATCTGCCCTTCATGTCTGCATTGGGAGGTGACTGGAATAGAAGGTGGCCTTTTAATGGATATGGCCAGCCTGCATTCACTGCAATGCTGTTTGACATGTATAGATCCTGCTGTATCCAAGCAGACAGGGGGCAGTCATCTAGCAGAGTGGACAAGACCAGTGGACCCAGACCGGAGGCCAGTGTGAGGTCACATCCAGGAAAACACAGCCCTGGAGGCTGAGGTAGATTCCAGGAGTTGGAAACCAGCTGGGAAATATAGCAAGACCCTGTCTCACAAATAAATAAATAAAATAAAAGATTTAAAAAAAAATCACCAGAAAAGCAAGTGAGAGAGCTATCTGATGCTTCTCATTCTCCTGGTATTAAATCTGGGAGAAGTTCATGTGAATTTATGTTGGAAACAGGATCAGTGAAAGAATTAGGAGCATTGCCTCCACCTGTGCACAGAGGCTGCATTATCATTTACATAGAGCCTCTCTGTTGTGTCAGGTGCTGTGCCAGCCTCAGGTATGCAAAGGTGAACAATTAGACATTGTTATTCTAGCCTTTGGTGATTATGATTTGGACCCTAATATACATTTAGCTCCAAATTGTGGATGGTGTTGTGAGGGGAAAAGCTCAAGCTCTCAGAATAACAGGGAAGCCTGACTGATGTGATCTGGAGGATGAGATGAGGCCTCTGTGGAGAGAGGCCTGAAGGAATGGTAGGAGATTGGCAGGTCATACACCTGGGGGGCCTGTGTGCCTGAGCTTCAAGGCAGGGATGGGCAAGTTGGGGAAGTTGGGGAACTGAACCAGGGAGAGAATCTACACAGAGTGCAGACGTTACAATAAGATTAGGAGGTGGGGCTGGCATGGTGGCTCACCCTTTTAATCCCGGAACTTGGGAGGCCAAGGCAGGTGGATTGCTTCAGTCCAGGAGTTTGAGATCAGCCTGGATAACATCATGAAACCATGTCTCTGCTAAAAATACAAAAATTAGCTGGGTGTGGTGGCACACCTGTGTAATCCCAGCTACTTGGGAAGATGAGGCATGAGAGTCTCCTGAACCCAGGAGGTGGAGGTTGCAGTGAGCCAAGATTGTGCCACCGCACTCCAGCCTAGGCAACAGGGTGAGACTCTGTTGTCCCCTGCTCCCCCCAAAAACCCCGGAAAATTAGCTCAGCATGGTGGCATGTGCCTGTAGTCCCAGCTACTCAGGAGGCTGATGTGGGAGGATCACCTGAGCCTGGCTGAGATCTCATCACTGTACTCCAGCCTGGACAACCTGAATGACACCCTGTCCCCAAAAAAAAAGATTAGGAGGTGGCTAGAGGCCGCATCCTATGGGGCCTCGAAAGAATTTTGAGTTTTGTTCCAATGGAAAGCCATTGAAAGATTTTAAGCCGGGGATCAGCAGAGTCTGGCTGGGTGTGGAAGTGGAGGGAAGAGGTAAAAGCTGAACTGGGGACTGTAGGAGTCCAGGAAAAAGGCAATGGCTACCTTGCCTAGGGTGAGGGGCGATGGGATTGATGTGACTGCATGTGTCAGGTGCTGGGGGAACAAGAGATGAGGGTAATGAACCCTGGCTCCAGCCAGGGTTGTCACAGGCCTTCAGACTCAACCATTCTGAAAAGAACTCTCCTCTGCCTTAATAGGCCTTTCTTTTTGGAGAATTGGTATGCACCAATTCTCCAAAAATTAGATCCATTTTTATAATTTTAGTTTCTTTTAAAGACAAAATCCTATCAAACCAGTTCCTACTAGTGGTCTTTAATAGTAACTTTCTGTACATAACAGGTTTTGTTCTTTTGAAGGATCGAGTGGTGTTCCATGACATAGACCTATACCGTAATTTATTTAACCTGTGGGTCTCTGCTCTTGTCTTCCTCCTTTCAGGTTGACCAGTATCTCTACCACATGCGCCTCTCTGATGAGACCCTTTTGGAGATTTCTAAGCGGTTCCGCAAGGAGATGGAGAAAGGGCTTGGAGCCACCACCCACCCCACTGCAGCAGTGAAGATGCTGCCCACCTTTGTGAGGTCCACTCCAGACGGGACAGGTACTGCACCTCGGGGATGGCTCTAGCTGCTGCGTTACTTGGGGGTGGTTTAGTTGGCTTTGCACAGGGACCTAAAGAACTCAAAAGCCTCAGAAACCAACTCTGGCTAAGGGAAGCATTCAAGGAATTAAATGGAAGGGTGTGTGATGGATGGACAGGAGGTCTGGGAAAAGCTGGCAGTCCTGGCAGTCAAGGAGAAGCACCTTTGTCAGCCCTACTGTGGCATTGCTGTTGGCCATTTGTTTTCCACCTGTGTGCTGAGAAAGGCTGCTTGGCCCTGTTTGGCATTTTACAGTCCCACTGAGGTTGCACGCAGTGGTGGCAATGAACCACAGCAAATGTACCTCATGTGGCCACGACTCTACACCATGGTAGCTGCTCTCTGGCTCACCTGCGCACGCCCTAACTGGGACACCGTGTAGGCATGCGGGAGGGACGATGTCGTGCACATTGACCTAGGTTTTTTTCTCAAGCCCCGTGAAAGAAGTACTAGAAATCCAAATAGACTTAGGGAAAGAATGGAGAGCCACAGTGCGTATTAAGGAATTAAAGGTTCTGAAGTCCCGAAATATGAACCTATTAAGCTTTGTTTAATCACCTTATTTGGATACAGAATTCTTATTTTATGTTGTACCACCCAGCAAGTGATTTAATCAGGTTGGGGGAAAAGGATCATGGTGAAGATTCAAGTTGGAGAGGGCCAGTGGGTTAGGGCTAGATGACTGAAGGCCTTGAATACAAGCCTAAAACATTTATAAGTCTCTCTGCAGTAGCACTGGGGAGTGAATGCAAGTTTTTGGGGGATGTGAGCAGAACCATCTTGGTAACGTTATGTCATTGGCAGTATAGGTAGAGTGGAGGGGGAGCAAGGCTTGGCTGGCGGAGCACAAGACCTGACCCTGGTGGGTGGCGGTGGTGGGTGGACAAGAATAGGATTCAAGGGTGGGGCCCAGGTGTTCAGCCCAGCTGCCTGGGAATGGCAACATCCCAGAGAAGGGGACCAAGCAAAGTTGTGTCAGAGCTTTTATTTAATCCTATAATAGGTGCCTCCATTTTAGAGATGAGCAGCCTGTGAGGTCCATGAGGGGTGGGGGATGGAGGGTAGGTACTCACATCTAGGGGACAGGAGAAAGAGCCCAAGGGGCAGCTGCCAGGGCAGTGGAAGAACCAGGAAGCACAGTGTCTGAGAACCTAAGCGGGGCGACATCTCCAGGAAGCTGTCAGGTCACTGGTGAGGCATCTGCAGGGGCATTGTTGGGAGAGGAGTAAGGGCAGGGCGTGGGTCAGGGCTTGTTACTGCACGTGCCTGTGCGATTTCTAGTGCATATGTGTCCTTGAGGCTCATCTCCCTAAGTACCTCTAGGGACCTGGTTGTCTAATGAGACTTTGAATGGTTCCCAAAATAAGTAAGTGTTTGCTGAAGCTTTGGGACTCAGCCTGGAGCCAACACTGAGGGTATGACCTTGTTTAGAATTGTTCTCTGAGTGTGTATTTCTCATTTGTGTGAAGAGCCCCTTGAGGTGAGGGGCCTCTGTGGGTTATCTCTTTTTTGTCCTCTAGATTGGCATGTTTACCTACCACTCCCTCTGACTGGAAACCACACCCATTTCTGAGATTTTTATTTGACATTCAGGGCCTTGTCTTTATTTCACCCAGCACCAATACTAAGTAAGGACCCTAAATATTTTTTAAATACATATGGTCTACGGACCCTTCTGAGCACCTTAATGTATTAACTCATTTGCTTTTCAAAAACCTTTACGGTAAGTACAAATTGTATCCACTTTTTTTTCTTGAGACAGAGTCTCACTCTGTCATCAGGCTGGAGTGCAGTGGCATGGTCTCGGCTCACTGCAATCCCCGCCTCCCAGGTTCAAGTGATTCTCCTGCCTCAGTCTCCTGAGTACCAGGGACTACAGGCACACACCACCACCCACACCCCCAGCTAATTTTTGTATTTTTAGCAGAGACGGGGTTTCACCATGTTGGCTGGGATGGTCTCCATCTCTTGATCTCGTGATCCGCCCACCTCGGCTTCCCAAAGTGCTGGGATTACAGGCATGAGCCACTACGCCTGGCCTATTTCCACAATTTTTAGATGAGGAATTTGAGGCTTGGATGTCAAGTTGTCCAAGATCATACAGCCAGTGAGAGGCTGAGTTAGGAATCAAGCTTGTGTAAGCCGAAGTTCAGGCATTGGTACTGCACCTGATGCCTTCTGTCTCCGTTAGTGCATGTGTCAGCCTGTGCACTTGGCGCTGGAGCACACTGCAAATGCTCAACTAAAATTTTTTTTTGGAATGGAGTTAGGACTGATTGTTTAGCCTGTGTTTAGCCTTAATTCAGCCTGCCTATAGGCAGGCTGAATTAAGTTTGTTGGGGATAACTAATTATGGGGAAAGTTTTCAAAATTCTCATTGCTTTCCTGAAGCTGGAGGCACCTAGACCTCCCATGCACCTTGAAGCTTGCACTGTTTGTAGCACATACTGGAAGGTCTTATTCACTGAAACAAAGAAAGTGTCTCCTGGAATAGTGGAGACCAGATTGCAGGAAACCTACACCTAATCCCTCCTGCCTCATTTGCAGGGCGTCCATAGGTTAGCTCCTCACCCCCACACTCTTGGGACTCAGCCTTTGCCTTTGTAAAGTAAAGAGGTTGGACTCAGCAGTTCCAGTCTGTTCTGCACGTTTACTAGAACTAGTGTGCTAGTCTATTTACACAAAAACTTCTGAGGTCCTGTAATGGGAGATGAACCCTTAGTGTTCATTGGATGGTGTCTTAACTCATTTTTGTGTTGCTGTAAAGTGGAAAAAATATATATATACATATATATACACATCATATATATATATATATGAACACACAAACATATATGGATACATATATGACAACTCAGCAATTCCACTTCCAACTATATGCCCTGAACAGACTCCTGTACGAATCCAAAAAGACATGGCCCAATAATGTTCATTACACTGTTGCTTATAATGGCAGTGTATTGGAATTTTTTTTTTTTTTAGATGGAGTCTTGCTTTGTCACCCAGTGGTGTGATCTCAGCTCACTACAACCTCTGCCCAGGTTCAAGTGATTCTCCTGTCTCAGGCTCCCGAGTAGCTGCAATTACAGGCACCCACCACCACACCCAGCTAATTTTTGTATTTTTAGTAGAGATGGGTTTCACCATGTTGGCCAGGCTGATCTCAATCCTGACCTCAAATGATCTACCTGCCTTGGCCTCCCAAAGTGCTGGGATTACAGGTGTGAGCCATTGTGCCTGGCCTGGAAATAGTTTATGGCATATTCCTGTGATGGAATATTATATAGTATGTTACATACATGAGCGTATATGAATACAGATATATCCCAAACAATAAGTGGAGAACATTGAGGGAGGAGATGTACCTCATAGCAGTTGAATGGAAATTTAAAGAAATCCCTCAAAGCTTTACCTACTTTGCTTATGGACACACACTCACATCATAAAGTTAATGGGATATTAACTGGAAAATGCATACCTGATAGCTGATAGGGGCTACTCCTGGCAAGAGAAAGGAAAATGGACTGGGGAGGAGAAGATGAGGGAATGCCATTTAAAGTGGTCAGCATCAGCTGGGCGTGGAGGCTCACGCCTGTAATCCCAGCAATTTGGGAGGCCAAGGTGGATGGATCACCTGAGGTCAGGAGTTTGAGACCAGCCTGGCCAACATGGCGAAACCCTGTCTCTACTAAAAATAAAAAAATTAGCCGGGCCTGGTGTCGTGCACCTATAATGTCAGCTGGGAGGCTGAGGCATGGAGAATCGCTTGAACCTGGAGGGTGAAGGTTGCAGTGAGCTGAGATTGTGTCACTGTACTCCAGCCTGGGCAAAAGAATGAGACTACCTCAAAAAAAAAAAAAAAAAAAAAAAAAAAAAAGAATAAAGATACAGTGATCAGCATCAGGGCTTTCAAGTTTCGTTTTGTTAGTTGGGGATGTGAGTTATGGAATATGGCAGTGAAGATAGGTGACTCCTAAGTTGATACAGATGATCAAGAATGAAAATTCTCTGTTGTCAGCACCCCAGTGAAGTGCTAAGAGGAAAGGCCGAGGTGAAGTTGTGTCAGCGATTCCCTGGGCCAGGTGGTTGCACCCAGCCTGGGTGCCTGCTGCTGCTGCTGGGGTGAAGCTGCATCCCTCTCCCACAGAAGGCTCGAGGCCTTTGCTTCAGGGGCACCTGTTCAATGACACCTTTCTTAGCACCTTCATTTCTCAGCCTGTTCATGACTAGTATTACTTTTCAAATCTGAGAAATCAAACTTCAGCTCTAGAGAGAGCCAATCCTTAAATCCATAGCTTTCTAACTTTTCTGTACTTTATCTTCACTGCAAGAAACATATGCATATAAATATTTATATGAAATGAAACAATTTTGGGGACCAGAATTTATTCTTAAACATGATGAAGTTGGGTTTCTTGTCTTCTATTCTTTAAGAAAGTTGCTAGTCAGAACCTACTACATGTTTTTCACATTGCAGTTTGAAAGCCACTGCCTTAAATGATCCTTGGCCCAGTTTGGTTCTAGATGAGCATTTCAATTCTTGCTGGCATGAAATATGTAGTTTCAGGACAGTGTGGGGTGAGAGGTGAGAGTCAGAATTACACGTTCAAATGGGTTTGAATTCAAGCTGTGTGCTTCAGAGCAATTTATTTATGCTGTGACACTCTATTTCCTTATTTGTGAAAAGGGGAAATATCAGGGGATTGGTTTTCTGAGACTTAAGGGAGCATCTGATATGTGACTTTCTCACATGTGCTACAAACACCCCTGCAACCACAAACCACCACTACAAAAGGCACGCTTATTGCCAAATTTACTAAGAAAAGGTGAGTGAGTCTCCCAGGTTCTTAATTTCAGAAGAGATTGGCATCAAGGGAGCAGACGTGAGGGTTCATCCCCATCACCAGGGGCGCTGCATTTTGGAGTGAAGACCAGGCTCCAGTTCTCATACCAGCTCCAC